ACATAACCTTTGTTAGCTTCCTCCGTTCCAATACTAAATCACTAAACTATTCACTGTCCGATTAACTATCAATCATCCTTGGAATATTCAAATTACCAAACAGGCACTTTAATAACAACACTATAATCGCTTTTACTGCCGTTCAGTGTTACAGATTGACGTTTACGACAGACCGGTAACCACAAACGGTAATCTTCAAATCACATTTGAAGGTGCATTCTACCTCTACAAGCTTTCGACAGTAGCTGAATCATGCTTCAATTTGAATTCAAAATACGATTTGAGGTTTCTCGTTTCAAGTCTGCCGTGAACGTCAATCTGTAACTCTCTTTCCGAGTCTGAGCTATAGCTTTGGCAAAAGTCGTCGTCTAGGCTACTATAGGTACAAGCAATGCAGAGACATATATGTACTGTACATGAACCACTGCAGGCCATTTTATCCCGATCAATTTTTGCATGCTGTGATGCGAATACATGGCACTTTACAAGTGACTTGCCCGTCATCTTCTGAGGTAACACATTTCTTAAGTAACTCCGCATATTTGTCAGAATCCAGCTCCTGATGCAATGAAGCTTCGAAGAATCGCTTAAATGCTTCAAATGACTTACATCGATATGGGTAGATCACATTGTCCACCACAACGTTATTGAAGAGACCAACCTCTTGAAACAAATCTTGATAGCCCTCTTGGGTTAACGTATGAACTCCTTCGATTTTCTCCTCATTCGGCATCTTTGCGGTACACCAAATGGCCAGTTTCCCCCCAGCTTTCAAACATCGATGTGCTTTCTGTATGTAAATTCTTTTCTCGTCATCAGGAACCCAATGGAATGCATTCGTGCTGATGTGAACGTCGTAATACGGCTCATTATCGTGTGGATATCCAATAGCACTGCTGCCAACACAGAACTGAAGATTACCGACTTCTTTAGATTTCTCTTCAGCAATTTTGATTCGCTCAGCATCGGGATCGATTCCGACAGCCTGACCACCAGGGCCAACAATATCAGCGATACATTTAGTGACATGGCCTGTACCGCAACCCATGTCAAGCACTTTGTCGCCCAAGGAGAGGTTTAACCCACGGATAAATTGACTACCTGCTTCGACTTGTGGGCTACTGACTTCTTCATAGCTTTTAGCATTTGCATCGGCCTCCATTTGCGCACAAGAAGATCACAATATGGCAGAAATACTGTCTACAGATTCGTGCCTGGCACAACCTCGGTCCCAGGGTCTTTCTTGAGACTTGAAGGTCATTTTAAATTTTACTTCTCTCTTTGCTTCAAACTATTAAATTTTCGATGCAAAAATGTTTCTGATGCATTGCAGATTAATTAATATGATATTCAATTGAACAAATGAAATGCAACAAGGAGTTCAAAATAATGGCAATTCCTGTGATTTGTTTACGTTTATATATTCAAAGTCCACACTTTTGTTGACCTTTGAACTCAGCTCATTCAGATTATATTACTGTATTACGCGTAATATTTCAAATCCGACTATGAGGTGGACTAGATTTCAAATTCGCGCAATTAGCCATTCCGAACTTGATGAGTGGACTGGCGACGAGTGTTAAAAAGTGCCCAAATTAAGAAATGAACTAAATCACCAAAAAGACCACCTCAAAATTAGTGAGTACACAAAGTTTGAAGACATTTACATGAATACCCTTCGAATAATAAGCTTTCAAAAATTGTGAAATTACTGATTAAAACATTGGTTTTGGGACGCGCGTCCCAAAAACAAGAAATTACAATACATTTCATAGTAAATATCGCGATTTTCGAAAGCTTATTATTCGAAGGATATTCATGTAAACGTCTTCAAACTTTGTATACTTACTAATTTTGTGAGGTGGTCTTTTTAGTGATTTGGTTCATTTCTTAATTTGGACACTTTTTAACACTCGTCCCCAGTCCACTCATCAACTTCGGAATGGCTAATTTGATAAAGTCCGAGGCGAACCCGTTAAAGTGAGTTGAATTAATTTTGATCCAGTCCAGTCCTAGGACTGGACTGGATCAATATACTTGACGGTATCCAGTATTATTATATACACAAGGTCTGGATATGAGGTATTCTGCAATCTGATTGGTTCTCTACTAGCAGGATATTAGCTCATATCCTGCTAGTAGAGAAAAACAAAATGGCGGCTAAAACTGAATTTCCGATGTTTTGCGAACGAGAAAACGACAAGTTGTCGCTTTTTATAACCTTTACAGGATTAAAAACACAGTGAAAATCTCCCACAAAATGTTTTCAGGTTAGCAAATAAATTTTTAAAATTTAAAATGGTTAAAAATATATATTTTTGAAAAAATAATCGGCCGAACGAGCGAAGATAAAAATATAAACAAAATAGAAAAATATTGAAAATATCCGAAAAGCAAAGTCTGTGAATTCAGACCTTGTGTATATAATAAAACAGTTATTCCACTCACTCTCGTCGAATATGAGCGATAGCCGATTCGGCGCTACGCGCCTCATCGGCTATCAGCTCATATTCGACTCGAGTTCGTAGAATAACTGTTAATTATCATGTGGATCAAAATAAAGCAATATGGTTGGCTAATTTACTCATGAATTATTAATGAATTCGAGATAACATAATACAGCCCATACACAGGCTACAGTACTTATAGTGTAGATATAAATCACAAACATGGTACATTTCATGCACGTATGGTTGGCATGCATATCAAATTACCTGTGTTAGGATAAAATTATATGGCAGACGGACTGACGGCGGACGGACTGACGGATGGCATCCGACGGACGGATGACTTGTGACGCGGACATGGCTCAAAAAACATTTTCGTGCCTTTATAAATCATATCCGCGTTTAATCCTGGTAATATTTTTTCTCACTCCTGAATTTAGGTTTAGACTGGCACTTTAACGCAGTATATCCGAAGTTATACAAATCTTTCTATTTCAATAGACAATATAGATCGTGAAGGTACAATATTTATCAAGTTACAAACCTGTCCTTGCTATCGGCTTTCTCAAATGCGGCATGAAGTTGAATACGATCAATTAAAGACTGGAAATCATTTCTGCATTGGTCTAACATCATGATCACTTCCTATAAGCAGAGAAAATAGACACTGCAATAGACCTTTCCCCTTTTGAGTGCAATTTTGATCTAGACAAGTCTGGACAACAATTTCACCACAGCTTGAAAGAGCATCACAAAATTAGTAATATTCCGAGGTTTCGTTGCGAAATGTTGTAAAATGCGGATAATATAGCCTTGCGAAGTTTGCCGTTTTTCAGTCATTTTGTATTACAAATGGGAAATTGATAATCAGTTTGATCATCTGATTATCAATTTCCCGTTACTAATTTTGTGATGCTCTTTCAAGCTGTGGTGAAATTTTTGTCCAGACTTGTCTAGATCAAAATTTCACTCATAAGGGGAAAGGTCTATTTAACCTTATTTTTAATTCCAAGTTTAAAATATATGGGTCCTGTGATTTAATTCCACGTTCTAAGCCATGCGATTCAACTGTTATTATAGTGATGCAGTTCTATGTCAAGCGAGATGCCAAACGATGCCCAAAAATCTCGATGCATGTTTACCCATCCAATGCATGGCATCACCCAGTATATACCGGGTGTCCCCCAAAAGAGCTGGACATTGTTTGTTTTCATGTAATGTATAAGCTATCGCAATGAAATACTGAAGATCATTGCATAAGAAAGGATTAACTTAGATTTTGATATACAACACTTGAATTTACATGCAATATTGAGCGAGATACAACCAAAATAAAAATATTTATTATTTAACAAGTATAACTACATCGATAATTATAAACAGTAGTTAAACATTCAAACATCAATAGCGCAGTCAATATTGCACGTAAATTCAAGTACTATATGTATTTGAATGCAATGAAAAATGCAATTGTAGGCCCACTGTCGGAATCGAACATGCGGCCCTGTGATTCCAGTGCAGCGCTCTAACCAACTGAGCTATACAGAGCCCAGTTGTTGAGCTGTTGGAACACTGTTTATATAATAACTACAGTGAAACACGCAATTTGATTGGTCAATAGCCGTGCAGGATCAGGCTATCCTGCACGAGGAATTAAAATGCTTTCCCGGGATTTTCGCGCGATTCTCAAAATGTCATTGTTTCACTGTAGTTATTTTATAAAACAATTACCAAATGGTTTTCCAAGCAGGATAGCGTGATCCATGCACTTGGGATGTTGCTCGACTTTCGGAAAGCGTAAAAATACACTCGCCTGCGGCTCGAGTATTTTTACGCTTTCCGAAAGTCTCGCGACATCCCTCGTGCATAGATCACGCAATCCTGCACGGAAAACCATTCGGTATTCCTTTATTGATTTCATTTAACTGTAAAAGCTACGGTATACTGTACTACCTGACATTCCATGACGCTTTCATCAGTCTCGCATGTTGTATATATTTCATCGACAGCTCTTTTGAGATTATCAAATAAATACGACCAATATCTCGCGCGCAAGTCTATCTTCTTTCTGTTAGCTGAGTTTGATCTACTCCGAGCCTGTCTTAGCTTTGGCTTTTCCTTGCCTGGGGAACTTCCACGTTTGTCAGCATTTGTCCTGTCCTTCTCAGATATCTTGTTGTCGTTCTCAGCTTTGATCGTTCGGGTATTACGATCGTTCCTGACTGCAAAAAAAATGACAATATTTACCATTGTCTATTTTGAAACAATTAAATGTAAGCGAGGTTATTCTAACAAGTCTGATATAGTCACGATGTAACAATTAAGAATGTCACAAGGTTGACGACACAAAGTTGTAACAATATTGTTACATCATGACTGTATTCGACTTGTTGGAACAACCTTGCATCGAGTCTGATAATATCAACAAGATTGTTATACAAATCTTGCTAACAGCTTGTTCCAAACTTGTTGACAACTTGGGACAAGCAGACAGACTGAAGCAGTGCCATTACCAGAAATATGGGACATTTTGCTCCCGCTTTTGTAGTCAGCGGCTAAGTCCGTTTTATATGCCCAACATTGCCTAATCTAAGTAATTCGACTTCGCATTTTACTTTGAATCTCCAGTTCAAGTATTATTCAACCAAAAACTGTGATTTTAAACCATATTTTGCAGTTTTTGCTGATCACTTCCGGTATTTCGACCTTTAACCCCGCAAATTTTTATCAAGACTAAAAATATTGCAAATATCCTAAAAAATCCTAAAATATCCCTGTGTTTTTACGTGAGAGCCTGGGATCTAGTCCTTCCAAATAAACAAGAAACATGGCTGCTCGAAACAGCTCAAATTTGTATTAAAACTTGTCGTTTTTGGATATTAAGATGGTTTAATGGCGACATACAAGAACCGTAAAAAGGCGAACTTTTAAACGTTTCGGGAACCAGTTTCCCTGGAAATTACAGCGGATTTATTTAGCTAAACTAACAGTTTGGACATCATTAAATATATCGCGAGCTCCGCACTTTGCATCGTCCGAATGGATGTTGGTCTATTCGTCGGATATTTACCTCTTGTGTCACAAGTTTACTATAAATTACACTATGAAATTCATCGAATTGCGTGTAAAAATACAACATTCTCAGGAACCTGCTAGACGCGGTGCAATACTAGCGATTTTTGTTTAGAAATATTTCTTGTTCGTGTCGCTACTATAATCGAGCTCCGCAACCATGAAATATTTAAACAAAGTATATTAAAATTTGATATTTTGATCAACTCCCATATAGTTTATAGTAATATTTGGTCGCCATATTTGGTCAAAGTGCGCATGTCCGTCGCCATCTTGTCCCATATTTCTGGTAATGGCGAACACAACGTGCTGACGGCTTGTTGGCAGACTTGCTACAAGATGTGAGATTTCTACGCGTGTAGCTGGGCAAATCTCTATAAAACGCAAAATCGACCGGTTCCATTCGTTCCCGCGCGAATTCGTCCGGTTTTACACGTTCCGTGTGAACTCGAAACGCAAAATCGTGCAACCGAACTCATCCACAGTCTAAGAATCGATACAACAATGAACAATTCCTTAATTGCGGTTTTCGACAACGCGGTATCCTTGCAGTAAACGTGTGAAAAGCGATCGCGTTTTCTGATAAAAAGTCACCTTGCAAATTTACACGTTATAGAAACATACAAACTTTCTGTCTAAAATTCTACTATCGAATTTTAGCGCTAAAAGATCTTAAATAAATCTAGCTAAGTGAGTATTAAGTTTCACTTTGTTTTACGACCTAAACATCAATAAACAGAAAGATTGCATGTGGGCAAGGTTTCAACGACAAAAATCAATAAAAATATAAAATCTGTATTTTTACCTTCTTGAATAAAACTAAAAGCGACGGCCGCCATTGCTTTTCTGACAATCCTCACAAGTTACAATGGACGAGTTTTCCAAAATAATACACATTTCAGTTTAAAACATAACATTATTGTACGAAGTATATATACACTGTCTGTGACTAAATGTTTCCCGATCATTGTTTTGAAAGGAAAGTATAAATTAGAGGCCAGACGTTATACATATTTAACGAGCGGTAAGGTTTCCATATAATTGACTATTCATGAACAAACGGTCACAAAGCAAAGATCAAATGCGTAAGACTGTAAAAGCTTTGGTTTGGCTTGTATACGCGGGTTGAAATTTTAGAAATTTTGGTACTAGGTAACTAGGGAATAAGGTCTGGTCACCTAATTCAATATCAGGTCACCCTATATCAATGACGACTTATTCATCAATAAAAATGCATTTTTGCATGAATTACGAATTATTATTATGCACTCACGTGCACTTAACCAATCAGCAATCGTCGAGAGGGTCACGTGCCGATCTAATATTTTACGATATTGGACAGGAACATATTACCTTATTGGACAGTGGCGAATCGTGGCTTTTTTTCCTGGTTTTTCAACCATTTTCAGATATTTTGTCAATTGCAAGCATACGACAAGCGATATGGCAGAGTAATAAAAAGAATTTGGGACATTAATACAGTTTTTTCTACCCGTTTTGTTCAAAATTATAAAAGCGCGGGAAAACTTGTCTTCGCGAAATTCATTTGTTTGCAACTGCCTCGAGGTTAGTAATATTATTTTTTTCGTTAAAATTAGGTCAAATTTCATTTAAATATACATGGGAATTGAGTTTATTTATGCACACATATTTGTAAACACATTTACAAGTTTATTAACTTTTTGTTTTGTTTTGATTCTATCGACGATTTGCATTAATTTGTCAGTTTTCGTCAAAAGTATTTGTCACATTTAAGACATTTAATAGGGTGCAATGCAACTGAAATGGTTTGACCAAACGATCTGCCATTAGCCAATATATCTGTAAACCATTAAGCTACAATTCACCCAAATGGCAGGAGAGTCTTGCTCACTAGACACTAGTGGGTTATAAACTGATATGCCGAATGTTTATACTAGAACATACTGTTTATAAAGTGTTTATTTCATTCTTAATAGGCCACATAAAAAATAGTTGGTTAGCGTCCTCCCCCGCCCACAAAAAAAGGCCCCGCAAAGGATTTTGATTATTGATCAACAGGCTCTAATATATGTAGTATTTTTGTTGACTGTAGTGAATTGTGTTAATAAATTGCGAAATGAAAATGATGGTACGAATCATATTTTGAAAATATAAAAAATATCTGTACTGCATGGGAAAGTCTAGACTTGCTCCAAGTCTCTCTTTGTGGAGACCCACTATATTGTACGTTACATGACGTACCGCTGAGGGGGAGAGGAGGAAAGAGAAGAGAGACTTGTAACATCTGGCAGCAGAAATACTTCCGGCTGGTCAATTTCGACCAGCCGGAAGTAGATGGCCGCATTGACTTATCATGTGTTTAGGGGGGGGAAGGCGACATCTGGACTTATTTATTTAACATAAGTAATTTTGTATTCACGAGATTTCTTGTAGATTTCACATCACTTTTGACTGCGTGCATTTGGAATTTTGGGCATTATTTTTGCAATTTATTGAAAACAACGATTATAAGAAGAACGGATAAATTACAAATCAGCCGTATTAATCGTCATAAACCTCGATGACCACCAGGGTTTTGTGTTTGACAATTTGTATTTCATTAGATATTTATATGCAAGGTCAGTATAAACGGGTTATCATATAAAATGATCATTCTAATGAATTGATAAAACGAATTATATCTAATATGTACGGCCGCGTTTTTTTACACGGCCACTACTGAAGCGTTTAGCTTGATTGTTGAATAAATCGACGACTTGCTTAGTTGCTTTCTGTTTTTGAGCTTAACCACCGTTTAAGCTAAACGGGCTTGATACAACTGGCCCCAGACTCGGCCCCAGATAAACATTTTTCTATTATCGAGATCGAAACTATAGAAAATTGGAAACCGTGTCAATAATAAAAAACGTACAATGAACTTATGAACATGCGGAAAATTTTAAAAATTTGTATAAATTTTGGGCGTGACAATTTTCCGCATGTTCATAAGTTCATTGTACGTTTTGTATTATTGACACGGTTTCCAATTTACTATAGTTTCGATCTCGATAATACAAAAATGTTAACGTTTATCTGGGGCCGAGTCTGTGGCCAGTTGTATCAAGCCCGTTTAGCTTAAACGGTGGTTAAGCTCAAAACAGAAAGGGCTATTCCATTTAATATCCGTACCCCCCCTGTCGAGGATACCTGGAATTCTTCAGGGGTAGGGTGTTTTGAGCTTGGAATTCTTCAGGGGTAGGGTGTTTTGAGTTTGGAATTCTTCAGGGGTAGATTGTTTTGAGCTTGGAATTCTTCAGTGGTAAAGGATTTTGAGTTTGGAATTCTTCAGGGGTACAGTGTTTTTAGCTTGGAATTCTTCAGGGGTAAAGTGTTTTGAGCTTGGAATTCTTCAGGGGTAAAGTGTTTTGAGCTTGGAATTCTTCAGGGGTAGGGTGTTTTGAGCTTGGAATTCTTCAGGGGTAGGGTGTTTTGAGCTTGGAATTCTTCAGGGGTACAGTGTTTCGAGTTTGGAATTCTTCAGGGGTACAGTGTTTCGAGTTTGGAATTCTTCAGGGGTACAGTGTTTTGAGTTTGGAATTCTTCAGGGGTACAGTGTTTTGAGCTTGGAATTCTTCAGGGGTACAGTGTTTTGAGTTTGGAATTCTTCAGGGGTACAGTGTTTTGAGTTTGGAATTCTTCAGGGGTACAGTGTTTTGAGCTTGGAATTCTTCAGGGGTACAGTGTTTTGAGTTTGGAATTCTTCAGGGGTACAGTGTTTTGAGTTTGGAATTCTTCAGGGGTAAAGTGTTTTGAGCTTGGAATTCTTCAGGGGTACAGTGTTTTGAGCTTGGAATTCTTCAGGGGTACAGTGTTTTGAGTTTGGAATTCTTCAGGGGTAGAGTGTTTTGAGCTTGGAATTCTTCAGGGGTACAGTGTTTTGAGCTTGGAATTCTTCAGGGGTAAATGATTTTGAGTTTGGAATTCTTCAGGGGTACAGTGTTTTGAATTTGGAAATCTTCAGGGGTAAAGGAGTTTGAGTTTGGAATTCTTCAGGGGTACAGTGTTTTGAGCTTGGAATTCTTAAGGGGTAAAGGATTTTGAGTTTGGAATTCTTCAGGGGTACAGTGTTTTGAGCTTGGAATTCTTAAGGGGTAAAGGATTTTGAGTTTGGAATTCTTCAGGGGTACAGTGTTTTGAGCTTGGAATTCTTCAGGGGTAAAGGATTTTGAGTTTGGAATTCTTCAGGGGTAAAGGATTTTGAGCTTGGAATTTTTCAGGGGTACAGTGTTTTGAGTTTGGAATTCTTCAGGGGTACAGTGTTTTGAGTTTGGAATTCTTAAGGGGTAAAGGATTTTGAGTTTGGAATTCTTCAGGGGTACAGTGTTTTGAGCTTGGAATTCTTCAGGGGTAAAGGATTTTGAGTTTGGAATTCTTCAGGGGTACAGTGTTTTTAGCTTGGAATTCTTCAGGGGTACAGTGTTTTGAGCTTGGAATTCTTCAGGGGTAAAGGATTTTGAGTTTGGAATTCTTCAGGGGTACAGTGTTTTGAGTTTGGAATTCTTCAGGGGTACAGTGTTTTGAGTTTGGAATTCTTCAGGGGTAGGGTGGTTTGAGCTTGGAATTCTTCAGGGGTAAAGTGTTTTGAGCTTGGAATTCTTCAGGTTAGATTGTTTTGAGCTTGGAATTCTTCAGGGGTACAGTGTTTTGAGCTTGGAATTCTTCAGGGGTACAGTGTTTTGAGCTTGGAATTCTTCAGGGGTACAGTGTTTTGAGCTTGGAATTCTTCAGGGGTACAGTGTTTTGAGTTTGGAATTCTTCAGGGGTACAGTGTTTTGAGTTTGGAATTCTTAAGGGGTAAATGATTTTGAGTTTGGAATTCTTCAGGGGTAGGGTGTTTTGAGCTTGGAATTCTTCAGGGGTAGGGTGTTTTGAGTTTGGAATTCTTCAGGGGTAGAGTGTTTTGAGTTTGGAATTCTTCAGGGGTACAGTGTTTTGAGCTTGGAATTCTTCAGGGGTAGGGTGTTTTGAGTTTGGAATTCTTCAGGGGTAGATTGTTTTGAGCTTGGAATTCTTCAGGGGTAAAGGATTTTGAGTTTGGAATTCTTCAGGGGTACAGTGTTTTTAGCTTGGAATTCTTCAGGGGTAAAGTGTTTTGAGCTTGGAATTCTTCAGGGGTAAAGGATTTTGAGCTTGGAATTCTTCAGGGGTAAAGTGTTTTGAGTTTGGAATTCTTCAGGGGTAGGGTGTTTTGAGCATGGAATTCTTCAGGAGTAAAGTGTTTTGAGCTTGGAATTCTTCAGGGGTACAGTGTTTTGAGCTTGGAATTCTTCGGGGGTAGGGTGTTTTGAGTTTGGAATTCTTCAGGGGTAGATTGTTTTGAGCTTGGAATTCTTCAGGGGTAAAGGATTTTGAGTTTGGAATTCTTCAGGGGTACAGTGTTTTGAGCTTGGAATTCTTCACGGGTACAGTGTTTTGAGTTTGGAATTCTTAAGGGGTAAATGATTTTGAGTTTGGAATTCTTCAGGGGTAGGGTGTTTTGAGCTTGGAATTCTTCAGGGGTACAGTGTCTTGAGCTTGGAATTCTTCAGGGGTACAGTGTTTTGAGCTTGGAATTCTTCAGGGGTAGGGTGTTTTGAGCTTGGAATTCTTCAGGGGTAGGGTGTTTTGAGCTTGGAATTCTTCAGGGGTAAAGGATTTTGAGTTTGAAATTTCTGCAGGGGTACCCTATGATTGATCTGAATTTTTTTAACTAACTAACTGCACTCTTAAGGCCGTTTTCCATTAACGTTCGCTAAAAATGTTCTGCGTGATTTAAGGTGGCTTAGTTGAAAACAATGTAGTTGTGAAAGGACAAAGAGAAATTCCGCTCCACGTGGAAAATTCCGCCTAGTGGAAAACAAGCTTTAAAGCTCGAGTAATACGAGCAACAAAATTGCTGCAACTTGCAACAAAATCTGATTTCTACGCATGTTAATTGAAAATACTTAACATTTTGCTGCAAGGTGCAGCAATTATTACTCCACATTTACACCCGTTTTTCTTTTTAAATTACATGGCACATGGGGTTAGGCCAGTTAAAATGAGGAAGCGGAACGAAAGGGGTTAAAGGCGGAACGGAACGAATATGAGGTTAAAACTTAAAACCAATATCCGTTCCGTTCTGCATTTTAACCATATATCCGTCCCACATTTTAACCCCATCCGTTCCGTATTTTAATCCCATCCGTTCCGCATCCGTTCCGCTTCCGCACTTTAACCTAACCCATGGCACATGTTTATGTTACGCAAACTACTATAAATAGCAATGTAAACAAAAGACATTTTAAACCGTATCTAACACCCCCCCCCCAAAAAAAAAAATATATATTGAGCCAAAATAAGCTAGATATTATCAGAGAAAAAGAAACAACACACCATCATTTAAACTTGGATAAAACAAAATTCATGATTTTTAAACCTAAACCAAAATTATTGGAATTAGATGTGAAACTACTATTGAATGATAAAGAAATTGATCAAGTGAAAAAAATCGTTTTCTTAGGAATTATTTTAGATGACAAACTTTCTTGGAAATCTCATATTAGTCATGTGTCAATGAAGATTTCAAAATCAGTAGGAATAATACGTAAATCTAGTTGTTTTTTTAAACAATCATTGTTTACAGTACTTTATATTACTCAATGCAATATTGTTTGGGCATCTACGTATGCATCCAACCTGTTTCGTTTGGTAGTTCTTTAGAAACGTATTGTTAGAATTATGAATATAGTACATTTGATTCTCATACAAGCATGATCTTTAAAAATTTTCGATTATTGAAATTTAATGACATATGTAAATTACACTGACATGTCAATTCATGTTCTTGTATAAAAAAATCTTGTACCAGAACATTTAAAAAATATTTTCCTATTAAATAACTAAATACATAATTATAATA